CTGTAAAAACAGGAATGTACTAAGTACTCAAAACAACTTTACACCCAAAAATTGGTTAAAATGCTAAATTTTATATTAATAAATTTCACTATAACTTTTAAAAGTAAAACTTCAAATTTCAGGTTAAAAACCACAGATGTTCTGAAAACCACTAATATATATCATTTGTCTAGTGCATAATAAATGTTTACTGAATTTTTAAAAAGTTGGGACAGGAGGATGAAATTCAGAATGAGAGAAGTTCAGGCACTAAGCTATTTGTCTCGAAGTTGATTCTACACAGTAATCAAATTGGGTTTTAATACTTAGACTATTCACATATGGGGCTTGTGGTTTGAGTGAAATATTACTGAACATTATGAACAGGGCCAAAAGCCCTCACCAATTCACCCCATGGGGTACTGTAGCTCTCTAATAGGCTGTAAATTCCTTAAGAATAGAATATATATATATTTTCCATCTCCTCATGACACACAGTGGGAGTTCTGTACTTTGTCTGATTTTCATTCCATTAGAGATAAACATGTTTAAAAGGATTTTCTTGCACCAAAATTAATCCTTCATAAGGGGTCCTTCATAAGGCAAATTTTAGGATTATAACTGTTAGAAAACATGATGGAAAGGAGTATTTAACAGAAATTTTTAGAAGATGGTTGTTATTATTTGTTCTTTAATAACAAATCAATTACTTATAATTAGTAAAATATAATTCCTGAATACTATAGTAAAAAAGTAAAGGTCTTAGATGATATTATATGTAATTTTGGCAGACTGAGGTTAGCAGTATATACCTTATTCTAGTTATTTCTACTTTCTGTAGGCAAATGTTTATTTATTTATTTTTTTAAAGATTTATTTATTCATATAGAACTGCGGTACAGGCCAGAGATGTGGAGGGTGAGAGGATTCACCAGAGACAGAGCAGGGAGCAGAACAGGCAGATCAACGAAGTACACTGCTGAGGGGAGCAGCGGGTGGGTCAGGAGAGGAGAGGTCTGCCATGCCATGTGGTCACCTCCCGGGCAGGCAGGAATCGAACTCATGCAGAAGTGGCTTAAGTTTCTCAGTGCTGTGCTTTAACCCGCTGCGCCACAAGGGAGGGCCGCAAATGTTTATTTTTAACATTTACAAATGTTGAACAGAACAAAATGGTATAACAACTGCCTTTAAAGTAACGCAAACTCATAACAAATATTTATAATATCATTTACTTGAAAAGTTCAAAGTTCAAGGGCCTCCCTGGTAGCCAGGAGTTAAGTCTCAGCTCTATCTCCACGTTGGCCTGAGTTCTATCCCTGGCCAGGGAGCTAACCCATATATGCCACAGCAGACCTTTCCAGTCTCACCTGCTGCTTCCCTCAGCAGTGTATTTCAGTAGATCTTCCTGGTCTGCTCCCTACTCTATCTTTGACAAATCCTCTCAACTCCTGCCCCTCTGGTATGTACCCCAGTTCTTCTACACATAAATGAATAAATAAAACTTCAAAGACCACTTATGTGCCACATAACAATGTTTTGATCATAGATGGATCATAGATGTGGCCCTAGTATATAGCTTGGCTGTATACCATCTAGCTTCATGTAAGTAAATTCTATGACATTCACATAATGACAAATTCACCTAATGAGAGTTCTCAAAATAAATCACCCACCCTAAGTAATGTATGATTATACTGTAAAGATATAGATGGTTTAGTAAAGCCACATTTAATATACAAATACACTAAATTTTACTGTATTCTTTCTGCTCCTGCAAGTGTAGAAAAATATCTGAAGCTGGTTTATATTAATCTTCTTGATCTGAATTTTGAAATTTCTATTCCTTCTTTCCTTGCTATTTATGAAACTTACAATCAACAATATTTATTAAAGCCTTTCATTGTTTCCAGATTAAGTAGAAATTTTATGTGATTGTTGCCAATTCCCAGGAGTTAAGGAGAAAGGTTCTCTAGAAGTTATTATGTCAGATTCACTGGGCACCTTGGTGGTGGGTGTGGTGTGGTAACATAGTTCTACAGAGGTGTAATCCTACACTTCTGAATCATGTAAGTATTGTAAGCCAATGCCACCTCAATTAAAAATCTACTGATAATGAAAAAGTATGGCATCACTGTAAATTAGGTTGTCCTTAAATGATATTAAGAGATTCCTTTGGTCATTTGAAGTCCTTTGACATTACTTATAATAACTCTTGTTAGCTTTGAAGAAAACCTACCATCTTCATTCTGTGAAAAAAGGGACAATTTTAAGTGTTTCTTAGTAAAGTTAGTAAATATATTAATATGTACTTGGATAATTAATTTAGGTTAACATACAAGCAAATAATCCAACCCACCCCCCAAAAATAGAGAAAAAATGGGGAAGGGAAAGAAACTCTGACACTTTGCATTGTGTTAACTCATATTAAAGAGTTCTTCATGGATTTATAATATTCAACTTTGTCAATTTGTTTTTATGCATAATTGACCATGATTTTTATGCCCAAGTAAAGTTCTTTACATCATAAAATCTATCCATAAGCCATTAAAAATTTCATGCTTGTTTTCCCTAACCAGGAACACAGAAGAGGTAACATGTCTATTAATATGAAAGAGAAATTATCAGGCACAATATTTTGCTATGGATTACTAGTCACAACAATTTCTGTTAAAAAATCCATTGGGGTCCTCCGTGGTAGCACAGCAGGTTAAAGCACAGCACTAAGCAGCTCAAGCCACTTCAGCTTGAGTTAGATCCCCCACCTCGAGGTGATCTCAGACCTCAGACCTCTCCTGACCCTCCCGCTGCTCCCCTCAGCAGTATATTTCATCAGTTTGCCTATGCTGCTCCCCACTCTGTCTCTGGTGAATCCTCTCACTGCCCCTGCACCTCTGGCCTGTACCTCAGTTCTGTATGCATAAATAAATAAATAAATAAAATCCACTGGAAGTTGCTCTCATAAAATTAAAGGACTTGAGTTAAAATCTCATTTACATAAAAATAACTAAATATGCAAAACTATCTGCTAAGTTCAATCACCAGAAATATGACTACAGAAGGAAAAGAAGTTTTAGCTTTCCTAAATAGGTGCCACCATCATATCAGTAAAATCACAGCTTCAATTTTATATATAGGAATGTGGACAGGTTATGTTAGCTCTTCATTCTAACAAGGGTTATTTCTCATTTGTCTTTCCCAAAGTTGATTTTTTTTAAATTTGAATTTATTTGCTCGTTGCCCTTTGACTTGATTTACCTATTTTAAGTATCTTCTTTCCATTAGAAATTCTGATTCAGCAATTCCCAAGTTCCAACCAGGGAATCATGTTAAGCCACTTCCCTACCAGTCAAGGTAATTTTTAAATTCGACTTACTTGGGAAACGCTACACTAGTCAGGAGAGTTGGGAAGCAAAATGCCGTCAACTTTGCTTTTATTTATAAACTTTAAACCAAACAAAAACACCATTGTAGAAGGTTTTATTAGCTTCATTATGAGATTCAAAATACTTTTTAAGAACATTTGTCAGGACATACATTTGGGAAAGGTTCTCATATATACCACACTCAACTTTAATAAATGAAGACACTTTTTTTTATGAACCACTCTATATAAGAAAATTACTTTCTAGGCAATTTATCTACAAGAGGAGATAGAGTAAAACAATTTATTGTTATTAGAGACAGAAATGTAAGAGGAAATAGATACCTAATAAGTAATTTTGTAATTTGTTTTAAGTTATTATAACTTAAAGCATTTTTGCTTTGTTCAAGATTACTACAAGCATAGTTATAATTTAAATTTGTAATAAGATACTTCATATCAAATGGCACAAATTCCAGCTGTAATATCCAAGAAAATGGTCATTTGGTACAAAAGTTTGAAAATAAATGACAGCTTATTCTACATCAAAAGTGAAGTGTAACTTTTATTCCTCCTACATAACCTACTTCATGACCAAGAACAACTTCAATAATAGGGTTGAAAAACAAACCACAAATAAAGTAGGTTCAAAGTAAGAATAAAAACAAATATCTGCATTGAAAAAGGAATTTTTCCTTGGCCCTAATTTCCCCCCCTTATTTTCCCTATTTTTAAAAATGAGGTCACTGAGCTAATTCGTCAAGTTAACAGTAAATCAGTGAATTATTTTCATCATTAGACTGTTGTCAGGCTGGGCAGGGTTCATTTTATCAACTTATCTAGTTTCCAAGCTCTAAAACACAGGAAAAGACCCCCCCCCCCAAGAAGTTTTTTCTAGCATGTGGGATGCATTTAAGCATTCTGTCCAAACAGCCTTAACTCACTGTCCCATTGAAGCAATGGGACATTTACATTTACAACAGTGACAAATTTCTGCTTATTCAACGCTTTAAACCTGGAAATCTCAAAAATCTCCATCCCGATTGTTTACATGTGTTCTTTGTGGATGTATGAAATATCTGGAATTTTCCTGCATGCGCTTTGTGTCTAATAGCATGCGTGACCCCATGTTACATACTGCCTTCCTAGAACTCTAGCCACACCAGCTACACACACACATCGTTACAAACCTGCCTTTCAAAATGCAGAGACTTAAAAGCAAGAAGGTATTGAATTTTCTAAATATAGTCCCGTCATGTTTATTTAACACTCATCTTAGATCACTAGCCGTGTCTAGTCGGACACTTAGAAGCATCTCTCAAAGCAGAACCAGACGTTTGACAGCTACGCCATCTACCTGTTGAACCTGGGTCGCTGCTCCCGACAACTGTCAGTCTGCTTTTTCCACTTAGAAATGCTAATGATCCTTTCCCCCCTTTTAAACCACATATAAAGCTGCTCGCTGATCTTTCGTCCCGCCCTCTCATTTCTTTCGGGTCGTTTCTGCAGAACCGAGGGAGCTGCAGGACCCGCGAGCTCCTGCGCCCCGTTGGCTGCGGCAGCTAAGCGGGCCGGGCCGTGGCAACCTCGCCGCAGCGGACAGAGGTCGTCGTAGGCCGGGGAGGGAGGCTCAGCGACCTCGAGACCCAGATTTACTCACCTGCCCCGGGGAGAGGCGTAGGGTGCGCGCTGCTCGCCCGGCGGGGGGATCGGATCCGAGCAGTGAGGGAGGTAGGGGCGCCCCGGCAAGGGGAGGTGTCAGGAGGAAAACGTATTACCTAAGCCGCGGATGCCGAGTCGAGCTGGAGGCTGCAGCCTTTCCCTCCAGAAACGGAAGAGGCGGGGGAGGAGGAGGAGGTAGAGGAGGAGGAGGAAAGCGCCGAGAGGGGGAGGAGGTGCCGGGGCGCGGGCCGCCCGCTGAAGGGCGCCGGGCGTCGGGTCGCGGGCTCAGTCCGAGGGCAAGGGGCCGGGAGCGCGGCGCAGGTCACCGAGGAGAAGGAGACAGAGGACGGCGCTCGGCTTCGCTTGGCCCTGAGCCTCAGCCCTCAGCATCCGCTAGGCCGCCACCCCTCGCCACCCCCGGGACTGCGGGCGTGTGAAGGCGCTGGGACGCCCCGCTGCTTCTGGTACTGGCGAGGGCATCCCACGCCCGCCCGAGCCGGGCGTCTGCGACGTCACAAGCAGAGAGTGATGATTCAAAAGCGGGGTGCCAGGAAGAAAAGGGCCCCACGATCACTGCCGCCACTGTATCTGCTTTTCTTGTAACTTTCCACAAATTGGCTTTTAAAATTGTCCTCCTTTCTTCATTTCTCTTTTGGGGGGTCTCTTGGGTTTGACAGATACTTGGCAGCTGTGAAGATGGACTTCTTACTGGTGACTGTCACGGTCTCATTGCTCTAATGAAAATGTCAAGTTGGTCTTCAAACCATAGCACTGTCCTGGGTTCTTGCCTCGAAAGATGTGGGTCTTGTGACAGGAAGCACCTCCTGGGTAGGAAACTCCCCTTTAAACTAGCTCACTCGTCATAGTTTAAAGATGCTTGTGGATGGTGGGTGGATGGGGATAGCAATGGTTGATGATAGTGGAGGGCAGAGAAATTAAAGGGCAAGGAGAGTTTGGAGTAGTGAGGGGCCTGGTAGCAGGCCCAGCAGGCAGAGTGCTGTCTCTGGTCTTTCTAAAGCAGTGCCTACCACATCCTTTCACTTCAGGGTCCACTTGGGAAGTGATAATGTCTGCAAGGTTCCAGAAAATGCTACTCCTGTGGAAGTGACTGAAGGGACCAGTATCTTCTCCCCTGTAACTCATTCAGTGGTCTGAAATTGCTAAGCTCTTATTTTATAAGTTTGGTTTTTTTTTTACATTTATTTATTTATTTGTGCATACAGAACTGGGGTACAGGCCAGAGGCTCAGGGGCGGTGAGAGGCTTCACCAGAGACAGTGGGGAGCAGAACAGGCAGATCTACGAAGTACACTGCTGAGGGAAGCAGTGGGTGGGCCAGGAGAGGTCTGGCTCGCCATGTGGTCACCTCCAGGGCAGGCGGGAATCGAACTCATGCGGAAGTGGCTTCAGATTCTCAGTGCTGTGCTTTAACCCGCTGCGCCACCAGGGAGCGCCCGCTAAGCTCTTATTTTAAAGCTCAAGCAGGAAGGTTTTCTTATGTACATTTTCCTCAAACCAGCAGAACTCCCTCTTGTGTTGCCATCACTTGGTCCTCTGAGGAGTGAGAAACCATTGAGGAAGGAGCCTGAGCAAGAAAGTTGCTTAGAACTTGACCTCTCCCAAACTGAACTCATCTTTCTGGACACAGGCTGTTCTTGAAGTCTAACCAGAGGCAACAACCTCATACCACTCTCACTCCATGCCCCCCTTGCACTCACTTGTGAAACTACTTAGTTTAATTCTAACTTCTGTCTCAGATAAAGCTATTACATTCATCCCTTTAAGTCTCCTTAAATCTATCCCTTTACTTCTGTTTATTCAGTCATCTCAAAATCTTATCTATAATAGAAAAATCAAGAAATTGTTTAAATACGATATTTAGAAGAGGCAAATGTCCGCATAGTTAGAATAAGGTATTTGCCTCTAGAGAGCCAGAATTCGGGAAAGGAAGGGTGGAGTTAAAAAACTGCTATTTGGGGGGCTCAGCTACTACAGAGATCATTTTTCAACACATCCCACATCTCAATGGATTTTTTGCTTAATCAAAAACCTGCATAGGCTCCTAATTTCTGGTACTACCAAGAGCAAGCTCATGGGCATGGTGTTCAAGGCTCCTCTCTCTCTGAGCCAGCACAGCCCCTCACCCTGGACACACTTTTTTACCATATGTAGTCTCCTAAATTTTTGCCTGCAATACTTTCTGGCTGCTATAGTTAAGTTAATAGTCCTACACAAAGTGCCTGATATGTTTATTGCTGTTCATTCTTTTTTTTTTTCAAAGATTTATTTTTTTATTCATATAGAACAGGGGTACAGGCCAGAGACATGGAGGATGAGAGGATTCACCAGGGACAGAGAGGGGAGCAGAACAGGCAGATCGAAGAAATACACTGCTGGGGGGAGCAACGGGCAGGTCAGGAGAGGTCTGCCACACCATGTGGTCACCTCCAGGGCAGGTGGGAATTGAACTCAGGCGGTGTGGCTTAAGCTTCTTAGTGCTGTGCTTTAACCCACTGCGCCACCAAGGAGGGCCCTATTGCTGTTCATTCTTACATCACTTCTATTACTATAGTAGGTGTGACTGCTATTTCTATTCAAAATAAAGGCCAAACCTGCAGGGATTACAATTGAGATGGGAAAAAAAAAATGTACAAAATGGTGTAAAAATAAACTGTTATATAAAAAAATAAAGGCCAATTGTACTTAGAAGGATAAAACTGGATTTTCAGTGATGAATTTAGTATAGTGTATTGATATGATGTTTCTTAGTATATCTTAGACGTATCATTAGTTTCTTAGATTTGTCTTAGTGTAGATATTGATTTATCATGGTGAACAATCAAATTAAAATTACCCCAGTGATTTAGAGGTTAATTCACTCAAGTATGATGAGGCCAAATTTGAATTCAGTAATGTCACGCCAAAACTTACATTATATTACTTATTCAAACTTTAAAAACCTTCTCAGACACTAAATTTAAGCAGGATCAAAAAAATTAGATTTTTAAAAGGTCTCAAAAGCACAAAGAGAAAATGTAAGTAAATTGCTTGTAATTATAAAAGACAGAAATATAATGGAAAAGTGAAAGATTTGACTATAGCAGTTCAAACTTATTAGGTCAGAAAATCCATAGAATAAAATCAAAAGAAAAAAATTCAAAAAAATACAAATTACAAATACTCTGTTCAAACATGTAAATTAGTTGAGGCATAAAAGAAAAATATAGGCCCTCCCTGGTGGCGCAGCGGGTTACAGCACAGCACAAAGAAGCTTAAACCACTTCCACATGAGTTCGATCCCGCCTGCCCCGGAGGTGACCACATGGTGTGGCAGACCTCTCCTGACCCGCCAGCTGCTCCCCTCAGCAGTGTACTTCATTAATCTGTCTGTTCTGCACCCCACTCTGTTTCTGGTGAATCCTCTCACCCTCCGCATCTCTGGCCTGTACCCCAGTTCTGTACGAATAAATAAATAAATCTTTAAAAAATAAATAAATAAATAAAAATAAACGCCAAACATATTTTAAAGAGGGTTGAAAACTTTAAAGAATGAACCAACAAACTGAGAATGAAAGAACATTAAAGAGTTAGGGATTTGGGCCAATGACCTTGGAGGCAGGCTGCCTGGTAAAATGACCAAGTTCAGTGCTAAGAAGGATATAAGTTGGTTCAATGTTTCTGGAAGCAATTTGGCAGAACGTAGTAAAAAACCTCAAAAACGTTCACACCCTTTGACTCAGAAATTACATTTCTGGGAATTCATAATAGAGGAATTGACAAATGTCTCTCTATAAAGTCCAGATAGTAAGTCCTGCAGGCTTTGTAGGCTTCGTGTGTCTTGGTTGCTTTTCCTCTTTGTGTCTGTGTATGTGCTTTTTTTTCTTTAATCACCTTTAAAAATATGCAAGCCATTAGCATGGGGGCAGCAGGAAAACAGGCTGTGTACTAAAATTGGCCTGAGGGCAGTAATGTGTGCTAACAGCATAAACTACAAGAAAGTTTCTCACAGTGGGTTTGGCAGTAACCAAAACAGAAACCGAACTAAACATCTGACAGAAAATAGTTACAACCAGATGTGAGGAAACAAGTTTTAAAGTTTACTTTCCAAAGAATGTCTGTGTTACCATCCCAAACACAACATAATAATGATAATCATGCATATACATGCATAGAAAAAGATCTGGAAAGATATAAACATACGAAGATGTTATTTGTAGTCTTGGGTGGGGTGAGACTAGAGTTGCCTGGAGTATGTGTGTGTGTTCTTACAGTATTTATTGCTTTTGTAATAAGCAACAAGACAAGAAACTTTGTCTGGGTGATAACAGAACACCTTAGTTTTCAATCAGAGAGAATTTTGAATCTGTTCCCCTAGATGGAATTGGCCATTCCCTCTTCTGTGCTTCCTGAGAACTTAATGGTCTTTTTTTTTTTTTTAAAGATTTGTTTATTTATGTATACAGAACTGTAGTACAGGCCAGAGGTGCAGGGGGTCACAGGACTCACTAGAGACAGAGTGGGGAGCAGAACAGGCAGAGATAGACTGAAATACACTGCTGAGGGGAACAGGGGGCAGGTCAAGAGAGATCTGCCACATCATGTGGATCACCCTCCTGGCCGAGGATCAAACTCTTGCTGCAGTGGCTGTGATAGCTTCATAGTATTGCACTTTAACCTGTTGCGCCACCAGGGAGGGCCTCTTAATGGTCTTTTAAGTGCCATTATTTACAAAATTGGAGAATGAAAATACCATCATTTAATGAAGGTGTCTTCTATTACTGGCATCCGGGGCTCCAATATTTCACTGTTGTGAGTATGCAGTTATTTTCCACTTGCTCTCTGCCAGGCCCATTTTGTGTCCTCTGCCAGACTTTGTGTCTCAGAAGGCAGACTTTTCCTAAGCTATCCATGTGGGCTCTATTGAAAGCTTGCTTTTCATTTGGATTAATCAGTGGGTTACACAATAAGTTGGAGGATACAAAGGAGAAAATTTGGAGTATTTCCTCCCACCTCTTTCCCTGCTTTGGGCCAGAGTTCAGCTGTGGCCTGTCCTCTGAAGCTCCCTCAAGGTGCTCTTCTGTTCCATAACGCAATCTCTTCCTTGTATGCCTCAGTCCAAGCAGTGATAACAGCTTCCTTTGTTTTCCAAAGCCTGGGTATGTCCATATCTCTTGTCATCTCCAAGACATGTTGTTTCCTTTTGTTCAACAGTAGACCTAAACAAACAGTAGACCTTACCCAAAACATCTATAAATAGTTACGTCAATAAAATATCTTTGTTTGAAACATCTCAGTGGAAGTTGACTCTGTTAGGACCGACTGGTGTTTTAAGGAACATGGATGAACATCTCATGGAACACAAATCTATTTCTCACAAAACAAGCTCCGGATATTATCAAATTTAACCTTTGAGGTTTTAACTGTTTGCAAGGTAA